GACTCTCAGCTCTATTTACTTCATATTACAACTTTAACCTCCAATATCAAGAAGAAGCCGCATGCACCCTTGAGTTTGTGCAAAGGTGAGAGAATTTAATGCATACACAAGTTACAGAAGGATACAGTACATTGTGTGTGCATTGTTTAAGTTTTTAAATGTTATTTTAAACTATCTTTATTTTAAATTATACTTTTGTCTTTTTTTAACTTTAGGCGCTTCATTGACATCAACCCAGAACGGGGATCCAAAGCCAAGCAGGGAAAAGTGGTATCCAAAAAAACTGGCAAAGTTGTCCAAAAAAAGAACAATGCTGTGAATCCTCATGTTTCCTCACTGCTTCGAAAGTTGATGGACTTTGAATGGGATTTTGTGTAAGGCATATAAAGGACACAATTTTCTTTTTCCAGTTCAAGCTTAAAAGTGGTGCTGTCCTTTGTTTTGTTGTATCATTTTGTTTAAGTTCTGAATCACTATACCATGCTAAGTGAAAGAAAAATAGATTGAAGGATAGCTAAACATAGCTGTATTGTGCTTAGTGAAAGAAAAATTATGTTAAAGATATCTAAACATAGTTTAAAGATGGTAAAATGTAAACTATTTTAAACAGCATTCTAAAAAATAAATGTTTAATAAGAAGTAAGTTTTCTTCATTTTCTCAATTGAGGTATGCAAAAAATATTGCTTCTGAAAAAAGACATTTGCAGTATGCAACACAGCATAATTCTGTAAAATAGCAGCAATGTACTGCATTATATATTACAGTATTACTGTAAATTTTACACTTCTACAGTAACATTCTGTATTTTGTAATTGCAGTATTGTACTGTAAATATCAAATACAGTATGTTTGCTGTAAAAATACAGAAAATGGCTGGCAACTCTGCTGCCAGTATTATGCTGTAAATTTACAGTGAAATTTTTTACAGTGCATGTGCGCGTGTGTATGCCAGTCACATCATCGATGTCATGTCTGTGTTCTGTACCCGGCCATATTTACTGAACACACTGGATGTGCACCGTGGCTGACTCCAACTTAACTGTGCCCAGGTCCACCTCTTAATTAAAGCGTGGCCAGGTCACAGTTTAGTGTTCTGGGCCTGGGCACAGTACGGAGCAATCACACTAGTCCAACAAATGAGACTTCGGGGGTCAAATGTCTCAGTCTCTCAAATGCCCTGATCAGAGACTTCACTGACTCTGCGAAGATCACAGCATCATCAGCAATGTGGAGATTGATAAATGTTTACTCTCCAACAGATGTCCCACAGTTGCCGGACCCCACAACCCTGCCCAACACCCAGTTTGTACAAGCATTTAACAGAGTATGAGCAAGAACACTCCCCTAATGAACCCCAGGATCCACTGAGGTGAATGCAGAGGTTCTGCCTCCACTCTGCACAGCACTCTCAGTACTGGGGTACAGGCCAGCAGTGACATCCAGCAACTTCAGGGGTATCCCTCAAAGTCTCAGGATGTCCCACAGGGCAGTTATTTTAACTGAATCAAACACTTCACAAAAACCAACAAAGGCTGCAAAGAATCCCTGCTAATATTCACATTTGCGCTTGATGAGAACCCTCACTGCCAGGGTGTGGTTGATGGTAGTCAAAGTCCAGCCCTAAGAACTCTGGACTTTGAGTTGTCCAATGTCTCATCCAGAAGATCAGCTTTAGACAACTGCTCAAAGTAGCCAGTCCAGGGGGTCACAACTGCAATGTCACCTGTAAGGACCATTCCATCACCAGACCTCACTACGACTCTCTGAGGAACAAATTCAAATGTAAGTAATGCTTCAATTTCTCTGTAAGCAGGATGTGGGTCGCTAGACCGCAGATGGCGTATCACTTGCTCACAGATTGCACTAAAAATGTCTCCTTATCTGCCTTCAGTCCCCTTGCAGCCGTCCTCCTCAGTTCCTGGTACAGGCAGTGCCCAGGTCACAAGCAAGATCTGTTGCCTAAGTCTGTCTGTAAGTGGAATTTGTGGGTAAGTAAAAAAAATAATACTGTACATAAAAAAAATAAAATAAAATAATAATAATAATACTGTTCTCACGGTGTGTACCAACACCAGTTTAACAGCCAGCTAAGTTCCATCCATTAAATGCAGAAGTGACAGGATTCATCTTAGTGTTTTAGTTTTAAAAAGATGCCAGGATGCATTCATGAATTAGGAGCGAAAAGACAATGCTTTCACATGCACAAGACATATTACAGTGGCAGAACAATGAGAACAAGTTTGCCACAGGAGACACTCAGTCACTCAGTCAATATGCAACTTATTCAAACTCAATTATTGCGAAAATACTGTGGGAATGCCACCACTAGGGGGTGTACAAACAAACAAATACAAACAAGCATTCATATATGGATGGGAGTGTCACAAAGTACTGCATGTGTTCGTCATTATGAACCATTGTATTTAACCTGAAATTTTAATTTAATAAGCTTCCTGGCAGTCTGTGTGTAAGTCTGAGTTGTCTGTATGTCGGACGTTCTTAATCCAGGGACTGTCTGTATAGGAGTTGCCATCAAGCCGCTGCTGATAATATCCAGGGTGCTGTGAGATGAAGCATCTTCTTCTGGAAACACCGGCAAGACCAACACAATCTCCCATGTCACACTAGCATCAGCAGTCACACCCAAGTCTGCAAGTTCCTCACACAAACTGCATGCAAACTCATCGATCTCCTTTGCCGCACCACCAGTACTGGAGTACCAAGCTCAAGAATCTGACTTGCAGATCCTGACCAATGGCAAAGCTACGTTCACTATGGTCGCCAGACACATTCGTAATAGCCAGCCCTGTCAGTGCCAGTGGTCACAATGAAGTCAACCATGACCAGACAAGTCTCACCTCGTGGGGACCAATCAGCTTCCGACCGAAATTGTGAATAAAATGTCTCCCTCACCAAGATATCACCATGGTCACATCATACACAAATACCACATCTAGAGAGTGCCCTAATCTGAGTCTCAAAATTCACTTGTTGACAGGGACAGGAGTGACATCAAACATCATCTGGAGGAGCCGATCCACCCCAGCAACAGCTACTCCCTGAGTATGGCAGCCATCATAGTGACCAGACCAATAATAAGTGTACCCACCTACGGAGATCTGGCCGCTCCCTAGTCTGCGTACCTCAGAGAGTGCTGCCACTGAAATGAGGAGTTTACGAAGCTCCCCTGACAGCAGAGGAAGATGGTCATCTTGCCGGAGAGACAAGACAGTCCACATCCCTTATCAGATGGGCCACCTCAGTTTAGGACCCGAGTGCTGCTGTGCAGCAGGTGACACCTCAGCACCACACCAGTCCCGATCCCCAACAGGCCTGACCTCTCTGGCTCCCTGACAGCTTCCGCTCCTCCAGGGATGAGGCTCTTGAGGACTTCCCCCATTCCCTTCATGATGTGGGCAGCCTTCCTCTCTACTGACACCTTGTGCCCAATTCATGTGGAGAGCTGTGTGAGATGTTTTTACAGTGTCTGGAGTGTCATTCCTGCCACCAACCCTCAGAATTTTTCCCAGCAAGTTGGAGAACCATTTGCAAGGCCAGATGCCTATAATTGTTAAGTGCGGAGGCATCCAGGTTTTTATTCTGGAGGGGTTTGATTGCTGCGATCGTTAGTGATGCTGAGAAAATGCCCGAGAGGAGGGAGCCATTCACAATTTGCAAAAGCTCAAATGCTAAACAGCCGAAAACACTCCTAAAGCAGGTTGTGGGTAGAGTATTGAGATTTTAAGTACATGGTTTAAGATGCAGCACTATTTCTTCATACGTTCTGCCATCAATAGCGATAAATTCAGACACGAATGCCACATTTTTTCTATGCATTGATCAGTGATGTTTCTGGCACGGAAACTATTGGGGTACAAGACACTCTGTATGTGTCAGGATTGGTCCCCACCTTGTCTTGTTCCTGTCTGTTGTCTCCCAGTTTGGCCACTAGGTGTTGCTGACCATCCCATCCTTTTCCCTGTGTTCCATTAGCTTTAGTGTTCTTCTCAGTTTTAGTTGTGTTCTCTTGATCCCTGAACCACAGTGTGTATGAATGAGCTGTGTGTGCAGCTGAGAATATGCATCCTTATTTGTCGTGGGTTCTCTGGATCATATTAGACAGTTTAATTATTAGTTTTCCCCATTTTAATTGTTTTCTTCTGTTCATGTATTTCTGTATTGGTTGTTTTGTGCCTTTGTTCTTTCTTGCATCTAGTCTTTTAGTAATGTTCTGGGCTGGGTTTCTTCATAACAGTGACTCTTAGCATCTTACAAACACTTGAAAAGTATGGCTAACTAAAGCTGTTTACTTTTTTATATGTGTTTCCAGAACAATCCCCTAAGAGGCTGCTTAAGGGAAGACTTCTTAAGTGTGACCTTAATAGGTGCCGGAACACCTGATTGGTTGAGATCGATGACTCAAGAATTGATTATTCCCTCCATGCAGCAACTGCCTGACTGTGCCATGAGACAAAGTGGTGTTCTTTATAAATATAACTCTGGAAGAATCCTTCAAAATATTGCATTAATCAGAACTGGGGAGAATCTAAAAATCATCTAACCCTAAGTATTATTTTCGCCAACTGAGTGCACAAACCCACCTCAGCAGAATGTAATTTAAATAACCATTTTATTTCTATTTGTTCTATAAATAGAAAGTGCACCAGTATGTGTGCATGTCATACTTTGCAGCGTATTCAAAATGCAGCAGTTCGAATTGTCAGCAGGAGCAGGAAGTCTGAACACATAACCCCTGTTCTTAGTGAAGAACATAAGAAATTTACAAACGAGAGGAGGCCTAACTAATAGCTCAGAGTTGTTAAAATCTTATCTAGCTCTGATTTAAAGGAACCCAGGGTTTTAGCTTGCGCTACACTAACAGGAAGACTTTTCCATACTCCAACTACATGCTGTGTAAAGAAGTGCTTTCTCAAATCCATTTCACAATATTCTCCTGCTAATTTCCACCTATGGCCACGTGTTCTAGTATTTTAACTAATATTGAAGTAGCCATTTGGCTGAACAGCATCCAGACCTGTTAGAATCTTATATACATAGATCATGTCCCTCCTTAGTCTCCTTTGCTCCAGGTAAAACAGATTCAGGTCAGCTAACCACTCCTGTGAAGTAGCTCTCAGTTTCAAAAAGGTTGGTGACCCCTGCTCTAAGACCAGATCATTCTTGTAGCCCTACGTTGCACCCTTTTATATAATCATAGTATCACCTCCCTTGACTTAAACTCCACACACCTAGAGATGTAACCCAACATCCTATTGGCCGTTTATATAGCTTCCCCACACTGGCAAGAGTGGGACATGGAAGCATCAACATACACACCGAGGTCTTTCTCATAATCAGCTACCTTTAATTCTGTGGAACCCATAGAATATCTGTACTTTATATTTCTGCTCTCTGCATGGATTATTTTACATTTGCGTACATTAAATTTCATCTGCCAGGTGACTAATTGCAGTCACTAATTAAATCAAGATCCTGTTGTAGCCTCTGTGCTGCTAATTCAGTATCTCCTACATTGTTCCTTGCATTGGCTTCCTGTTAGGTTTAAAGCCGACGTCAAAGTTCTCCTACTTACCTTTAAGGCACTTAAAGGTCTAGCTCCTGCCTAGCTGACAGAATT